ACACACACACACACACACACACACACACACACACACATAAATTTTTCTTTTCACAAAGTGGGTAATAAGTTATTACAGCAAAAACATGATATTTTTAGCGTTTCTATACTAACTGTTCCATATTAATTATGGTCAGAACTTAAAAATCAGTTTTAGTTATACTAAAAACCATAAATTTTTTTTGTGAATTGCTATAAACTGTTACCATTAATTAAATTTTTAAATAAAAACTGGAATGAAAGAGAGGAGATTTCATGATTATTGTGATATAAATATTGCCAGAAATATTCAAAAGACTCGGATGTTGCTGTAATTGTAGTCAGTATAGTAATGCAACTTATACATTTTGCCACTTTAACTGGATTTGTGTTTTACACTTCAAAGCAACTGTTTGTGTTGCACATGATGTTTTATAGTAATACTTTGTAGATAACATCTTTTTTTGTGACAGTTTATTCGACAATGAATATACGATAAGTTTGTATTTTTTTAGACATGTTACTGACTCAACCAATAGAAAGAGATGAATCAAAGATGCCTTCACCATTTCATTTAAAAAGAAAAATTATTATTAAGGTAAGATTTTGGTGATTAATTGTTTTATAATAATAAAATTGTCTAAACAGTGTGAAACATTTGGAGTTTCAAATTAGCATATAAAGCATTATAAAGTAAACTAAAGTAACTTCAAATTAAGAAGATGTGTGTTTTTCTCTCTCTCTTTGCCTCTGAATTTGTGTATTACACTATTTTCTGTCAATATTTTATACATGCATACATTGTGCAAGTCCATTCAGTTAAATATTTTATGTACATCTAAAGAAATAATGATAAGAAATACTTTTACAGTTGCTAGGTAAAGCATTTATAGAATATGTGCAGTGTAATTCATCAATGACATTTAATATTTGTTATAGCACAAGAAGCTGCCAGAAGGAAGTGATGAAAAAGTTGTAATGACAGGATCAGAAGATAGTGAGTCCCCCCCCCTTTTTTTTATTTACTGGAACAAGTTTTTGTGTGATACTTTAAGTTTGTTTTATTAGTTGTATTGTAAAGACTGGTAATTTTTAAAGTGAAAACTATATCAAGTTTTTTGTATATTGTAAACCAGAAGAAGTATTCCAGAATTTAACCAGTTCTCTCTTTTTGTTTTTGGAATGAGAAATATTTGTCTGGGAAATGTTCAAAAAAATTCAAATTTAATTATTTTAAGCTGGAGCAGAAGCAGACATAAGCAATGCTGTTAAAAATGGTATCTTGTATCTTCGGGACCCGCTGGATCGGGTGAGTGGTTATATGTTCAGTGTTGTTTATTTCATGCTAATGTTTATGCAAAATATTAATATTTTAATGTTTGTTATAAATTACTGTCCAAAACATAAAACCTAATAAATTAGGCAAAATATAACTAATACTCTACTAGTTCTTTCCTTCCAAGGTGTTTTGATTATCATGCCTGTTTAAAATAAATTAATGACTAATACAAAGTCACCATTTTGAATGATGAATTCTAATGCTATCAATTTGCTATTTTATTATGTGTATTGTTTATAAAATATCACATATGGATTTTGTAAAAGTAGATTCTGCAGTCTGTGCTGCAGGTTAGAAAAACATATAACATCATGACAGTGACTTTTATGATAGAATATGATTAAATTGTGGAAATGGAGTACTGTAATGACATTAAAACTGTATATACTATTTCTCTTAATAAACTTTATAATTCTTCCATTGCTCTTAATCCTTTTTTTTTCTTCCCAGAATGAATCATTTTCTTCACCACAGTTTTAACTTTGTAGCAGAATTAAGAAATTAATAATAAATTTTCAAAGATTTGTACATTAACTGAGTGAAATCAGCTCTATTCCCACAAGAGGTAATATTAATAGTAAAAGGTAACAAAATCAGTAATCGTTATTTAGGGTTATTAGTTTTCAGTCATTTGTACACTCACTCAAAAAAATCGAAGTTAGCTTCACTACTATATGTTGTAGTCATATTAACAGGTCTGTTGAAAATAAAACTTTAAAATGTTTATTAATGTTGCTATAATTTTTCAAAGATTTGGTTTATACACCCAAAGAATCAAATCCACTGTAAAATATATTATTAACATTACATATTGTATAGTATTAACCCTTCCATAATGCCTTGCTATCAGATTAAAAGAACGAGTGTGATCATTAGTCAGATTTGATTAAAAGTATTAATTTCAATGTTTTCCACTCAAAATTGTAATAATTTTTGATTTAGTGAGTGATATGTTGATTTGTTTACAATTGTGAAATGGAAAAGTATTATTACAACTGCTTTTCTTTATCATCATATTTCATTATAAAGAATTATTTGTAAAAGTTGGATGCATAATCTTATTTTATTTGGATATTTCCAACCAATCAGTAGCCTTTCTTATTAACAACCACTCAGTCCCTTTATGTCAAGTAATCTGCTTATTGGAAATTTATATATATATACATATCATCAACAACATTCAGATGTAATCTGGTGATAAAATACTAAGATCAAGCAAACAATTTCTGATATGATAATGACACAAGTTATATTCTAGAGTGTTGCCAGTATGTCTTGTTGACATTTGAACATTACCATACTGTTGCACCTATTAAAAAATCATTTAAGAAATTTATTATTTCTAGCTATCTGTATAAAATTGCAAATATCAAAAGTTCAAAAGAACGTGACAAGAAATACATTAAGTTTTATCCAAAGTTCTTCCAAACTCCTTTATATCATAAGGTCTGCAAAATTGTAGCAACTTTTTTTTTATACTTAGATTGTTAAAAGAAAATCTGTGTCAACATCAGAATGCAACAGACTTTATGTGGATGTGATAGAATACAGAACTACTGCTTTTGGTATTGACAGTGCTTCATAAGAATGTTTAAAATTTTCATTTCTGTCTAAGGTTTATTGTCTTGGTAACATCAAGGAAGTTTGTCTTTTTATCATGTTGTTCTAGTTCACTTGACAGTAGTTTGTAGGTTTGAACTGAGTGCCTGGGTAATTGTGCAAGACCTTTAACAAAAGTCATTATTAGTTCAAAAAAAATAGGCAAACTTCTCTGCTAAAGGTCCCAGACTTTTTTTTGTTAAGTGTCAGAATGTTTCTTCATTAAGTTTATGAATACAAACTTAGCTCTGTTATACAAATTACAAAAGTATAAATTGTCTGGCACTGTTCCTTTTGGCTTTGATTTAGGAATGGCGGCCACACTTCTTCATGCTTACTCAGAACAAAATGTACTACGCAGAGGAGCAACAAATTCAAGATGATGAGGAGGAAGGTGATGGAGATAGACAGTTACAACAAAGGGATGTAAGTGAAAAAAAAGAACAAACTTATATTTATTACATTTATTAAAACCCTATTGTTAGTTTAACAACAGCATTGAAGTCTGCAAAACTTGGATACCACTCTTGAAAGCATTCAAATGTGCATTAAAAAATGCACTTCACAAAAAAATACAGGATTTTTAAACATCCCAACCCTCCTCTTGTCTCCCAACTGCATACCTGCCCATGCCTTATTATTTAGTATTTTCTCACATTTGTAGGTCTAAGGCTATCAATGGATATTGGACTTTACAAGCAGGATTTAAATATCCTATTAAATTTTGTTTTTGTTAAACAATATAGTAAGAACTGGGGTCTGTAACATTTGAGATGTGGCATATTAGTTGGTTAAATCATTTGCTCATTTAGCATAATCATTGTTTTAAGTTCTGTCCAGTTTTCATCTTCATTCACAGAACATTTTCATATATATATATCAGTAACAGTGTGCACCACTTAATATTTCTATGGTTACTTATTTTAACCATGTGTGGTAAAAGCTAATTATTTAATAATATGCTTGAAATTTTATCATTTTGTTTTCCTGAATGAACTCTATTACAAGAAGTCTGTTCATGTATGCCTGCTTATAATTGCCAAAAAGTTGGACCACTTGTCACCAAAGTTGGCATGTACCTACAGAGTCTGACATTTGGATCTGACCTATATTTCTTCCTCGTGCATTATGTCTGCTTATAATTTGCAAACCACATGACCAGTTGTCACCAAATGTGGCATGTACCCAAGGGAGGGTCAGCATTTATATTTGACCCCCTTTTGTCACCCCTGAGAGCTCTTTTCCTACGTGTTGAATTGGTAAATTGACTAGTTTTAACAACAAAACAATGCTGGAAAAGGTTTCATAGAGATTTTGCACTTTACTGATTTGTTCAACTTTTTAAATATTTTACATCACTTAGCTTACATGACCTGTAAATTTAGTTTTTATTTAATTATTACTTTTATTTACTTTTTGTTTTTTAATTTGTCAAAAATAGAAGGCTAATGAAACTGGACTAAATGAAGACACTTGATTTTATTTAGTAAAAAAGGTGCTCAAATAGTTCATGGTATTATAAATATTTTAATTTCCTAATAAAATTTTTGACAGCTTGTGTACTTAAGTGAGTTGATAAAATAATGGGTTGTGATTCACTTGGATATTCATAAATGAGACTATGAGGATTGTTGAGATGAATAGACCATCCCTACTGGGTTAATTATTACATTTTTTTTGTTGTTAAAGTTCAGTCATACTGATTAAAAAAAAAAGTTTGATAACCAGATTATGTTGAGAGGCCTGTCTGATTCAATGAATTATATTAATATGAACTGATTATGTAATAATAATGTATAGTTCAAGTGGCAAGATAAATTTACAGTGTTTATTAGAGTAGTAAATTGTGTGATTATGGTTAAGCCATATTTGAACACTGCAGTTTCATTGAAAAATTGGTTATTGAAAAAATAAATGTTTTAATTATGAATGTCTAAATGTTTCTTATTAGAGTGTTCCTTGTGATGAACTGCATTTTAGTGAAAAGTGGTTCCATGGAAAACTACCTGGTGGTCGTTCGCAAGCAGAAGAACTGTTACACCGCTACCAGCATCTTGGAGATGGTACTTTTCTAGTCCGAGAGAGTGATACTTTTGTTGGGGATTACTCTCTATCCTTTTGGTAATTATGTATACCTTTTTTAAGTATTTGGATGTAATGCTGTCAATTTTTTCACTTTTATTTTCTAGGATTTTATATTATGAATGATTTTTTGTGTACGGAATATGATTTGCTACTAAATATTTAATCCTCAAAGATGCACCATGGAACATGACAGCTAAATTTGAAAAGCATGAAATTTTTACTTTCACCAGTTTTTAAGTCAAATGCCTTATTCAAATCATGAGACTGCTTTGTACTCTGAAAACCAGAAATTTAATCCTAATTTTGAAGAATGCACAAATCACATAAATAACCTGGATAAATATGGAAATTGAAAAGATATTGTATGGTGAAAAAAATTAAAAATATATTTTTGAGTTGCAGTCGTTTTGGAGTGTCAGTTTGAAAAGATTATAACAATCTGAACTTTAATTTTAGCCTTATAAACCAACTTCTGAGTCTATGCCATTGTTGGTAATAAAAGTTCCTAATAATACGAGAGACTCACAAAAAAAGTTTTACAAAGAATGTTAGTAACCTTACCCAATTTGTGTTTTAATGGAAAAAAAAATCAGTATCATGTACATACATGGATCTCACCAGTATTGAATGATGTGTAAACAATACAGTTGCCAATGAGAATCATGAAATATCTTGATTTTACGTGGAAATATATTACATTATGGATATTGGGTTGGGAAATAAGTGCAAAAGATGTGATGGAATGCCTTGTACTAAGAATGTATTCAGTATTCTGATATCGTTCCAAAATAGAGCCAAAGAAGAACGTATAGAAGTTGTCATTAATCTGAGATTCACAGTTGATATTCATAAAGATAAATTACTTTAAAGGGCTAAGGTTTCTCTAGGATAAATAAAATAGCCCAGAGTTATTTTAAAATATTATGTATACATAATGATAACAACATGAATTTAGATCTATGTCATATACCCTTCACTCCAAAAACTTTCTATATCTCCAACACAACTTTTGTGAGATCTTCTGTTGTGTTAAACAGATATAGACCCTGAACTCCTGGAAACTGTTTTAGGCTTAGGAGTGTGTTACCAGTATGAAAACAATGGATTGAAGTGTTTCTAAAATAGAATGGCTTTATATTGTTCAACAGGCAACATTCAACAGACAGTTCCATTTATGAATAATCTTCATTTTATTAAATTTATAGTAATTTGTGTTGTATAAGTTAGCTTTTTTATTTTACTTTGTTTTATTTTATGCAATTAAATGTTTAGAAAATTTTGTAACTTTTATATTTTTGTTGCAGTCAGCAGTAAATGGAAGAATTTTATATCCATTGCTAGAATAGAAACTTTATTTCTTGTCATTTTCCAATGATCTTAGTAAACTCTGTACTGGTGTCTTGGTAAAGTCACTGGATTCTATATTAAGAGTGTGTTAATCATATGGTGTGCATAACTAGACTGTGTAAACCATATGAAGTGCAAAACTAGACTGTATCAAACATATAGATGCATAACCAGATTGTGTCAACCATACGGAGCACAGAACCAAATATACATAAGTGCTTCTGTAAATAACAGTTTTCATATTGGAATAGAAAGAATCAATCCCTTCAAGCAAGTTATATGTGTGAAAGGTTCAGTACACTTGGCTAGTAAATGGTCATACAATTTGGGTGGGTGGGTGGCTGGATGGCTAGCCTAATGGGACTATTATGAAGGGGTTAATTAATGTAGAGTCCCAAGTTATTTTCCTTCAACGGATGTAAAAGTTGTCACCACTCGTTTAACTACGATTACAATGATATGTAGTTAAATGTAATGCTAACTGAAATGAAACTAATAAATGAGTTTTTTTTTTTTTTCTTGACACTAAATAAATATGGAACTGTCTAAAATGCTTAACATGGCTTAATGTGTTTAACCCTCTTGCTTCAGACAGGTCAATGTGTGCATGTAACAACTTTTTAGTTATTTCAATTAATCTATTATTGTACATGAATAAACTTGGGATCAAAATGTAATTAGTAAATCATATTTTAATATTATATAAGCTTTAAGCTCTAAATTTTATAAGGAAATATTTGTTTTTTAATTCATCTAGTGTGAAAATAGGTTTTCTTCTTTAACTTATTTACTACCCCTCCAAGAAATATCAAAGTTATTGTAAATTACTCATTATAACATAGATATTACTTAGGCAAAGCATAATTTTTATAGCCTTCAATCTTATTTGTTCACAGAGCCATAAACTAGAAAATCAGACAAATTTGCCACATCCTCCTGTCACATCCTCTCTTTCACAAATTGCCAATAGTTCTATATGATGTTTTATACTTTATTATTTATAACCAATAGAAAACCGAAGTCTTAATCAATCAAATAATATGTATTACATTATTTTCTGTGCTGAGAAGTGTCTATTTCACTTCCAGTTCAAACTTTATTTCCATGGGAAACACATCTGAAAGGTTAGCAGTGTTTTTATTGGCTCTTATCATATTGTTAGAAAGCCAGAAAAATTATGATAATTATTGGACATTGTTTGCATTTTTTGGTATTATTGTTCTTTGTTCTTAAGTGCATTATTTAATTAAATAA